CCTTCATATCAAGAAGTATAACTAGTAAAAGTCCCAGGGTTAGACTTCACTTTAAACAGTACTGTACATCTTTGGTAAGGTTTCATTTAAATTATGCTGCTCATTTATAGTCTCCATATTACAGATTGGACATAATTCCGCTGGAAAACAGAGGATGAAATTGATTTGGTGCGTCGGAAACCTTTCCTAGGAACACACTAAAGGCACTGGATTTGCACAGCAAAACACGCTGAATTAGAGAGGATATGATTGAAGTGTATAATTGGAAAACAGGAATGAATAAAGGGGATACAAATATGTGTTAAAAGTGTCTAACCAAGACAAGAGTCTGTGCAACGGCTTCAAGTTGGACAAATCTAGATTTTAGAAAGAATATAGGAAAGTACTAGTTTAGCAACAGAGATGTAGATCAGTGGGAAAAAAAACTTCCAGGTAATGTCAGTGAGAGAACTTTGGGGAACTTAAAACAGTATACAGTATGTTGGACTGGTATATTAGTGGGTGTAGTTGGGTACGAGTTAGACCTGCCTTGCATGGGCCAATAGGTCAACGACTGTATTCCTTCATTCTTATTTTTACATTCTTAAATAAATACAACAAAATATATCCGTGGTACGTCTAGCAACGAGGTGGTATCACTGGTGATGCGAGACTACGACACCTCTCAAGGGAAGTAACAAGCGCTCACAGTCACTGTGAACCACCTAATCCCCCCTCACCCTTCACCAACCATGCCAAGATTTACGACAACCTTGAAAACACATGCCACTGTGTAGCCTTCAACATCTGCAACTGTGGCGAAACCCTGGTATCTAATACCGACAATTTGTGGTTAAAGATACTTTGAACTAATAGGACATTTATGTCCTGTTTGTTCATGAGTCTTGAACCACGTCTTCATGGAAACAGGTGAAACTGGGGAAATAAATGGGGAATGGGAGGCAATCAGATTTTATTCGAGGAAAAAGTGTAGCTCCAGATCAACTGGGAGGGTAGCTCTGATTCCTTGCTCACAAGGGATTATGTTCCTGGACACGAGTTACCACCTCCCCATGCGTTATGACCCCCCCATAAATATAATAATCTAAGTCTTAATTAAGACCAACAACCATCAATACGCTCTAAAATGGGGGTTGAAACCTATCGTCTACACGAGGATCAATCTTTTCACCACCAGTCAAAAATACTTTAATCCCTCCAAAGATAGGATATAAAGTAAGCTCCCAGTATATAAACTCTGAGAAACACACCTCTATGTATATCAACTCCTCTGAAGGGAAAACTGTAGTTGAGGAGGAGCCTCGTGTCCCACCACGGCGTGGCAGGATCTCCGCTAAGTAGCACCCAAATTACGCCTCGGTTTTTGTCGTAGTAGGAGCGACGGAGGTCTGCTGTCACAGCACTGCCAGTCCCATCCCTTAACCGCAACCACAGCCAGCAGCTGCAACAGTTGCGATTCTTGATGGTCATAGACCACTCCAATGTTTCTGACACGAATCTCAATTCGTTACATCAAGGACTATCCACTGCACTAAGGGTCATCAAGGCCTGAATTCACCTGTACGCTACTTAATTAATATTAAGCCCTAAAAGAAAGATAGTAAAATCAGTGTACAGTATACGTAGATAATTATTACATTTATGAAGGGCTCATGCAGCGCTTGGGGAATTGGAAGAAGCACATTTAATCTAAGGAAAGCACCACTGGTGAGACATTCATTTTAACCTATCTGGAGTCTACCTGGAGGTTATTCCGGGGATCAACGCCCTCGCGGCCCGGTCCACGACCAGGCCTCCCGGTGGATCAGGGCCTGATCAACCAGGCTGTTACTGCTGGCCGCACGCAGTCCAACGTACGAACCACAGCCCGGCTGATCCGGCATTGACTCTAGGTATCTGTCCAACTCTCTCTTGAAGGCAGCCAGGGGTTTATTGGTAATTCCTCTTATGCTTGGTGGGAGGCTGTTGAACAGTCTTGGGCCCCGGACACTTATGGTGTTTTCTCTTAGTGTACCAATAGCGTCCCTACTTTTAATTGGTGGTATTTTGCATCACCTGCCCAGTCTTTTACTTTCGTAGGGAGTGATTTCTGTGTGCAGATATACATGTATATATTTGATTGAACAATGCAGTTATTCACTATACGTACGCAGTTTATTATATACAAGATTTTTATATTCATATAAATGAATATAAAAATGCTGGGCCACCCATTCCCATACCCGTCCAACATATATTTAAAGCTACCCAAAGATCTTGCTCCAATGATGCTACCTGGTAGTTAGTTCCACTCATCTAGATTAAATACATGGAGACAATAGCCGCAACAGCGACTACAACAAGTGACGTGAATACAAAGCAGTATGCAAAAACGTATTGGGATATTTAACAGGGAAGGGATCGAGCAACAAACATTTTTGTACAAGTAATATATCTGAAACTGGGCATAATGGCACCTTTTCTAATTTAGTAGGGCTGGTTTGAGACTGGTTCGTGGTGGGCGATGATACCAGAAACATTAACAAATAACCCTCAGTTCTATTGATGAAGCGGTATGGTATACTGGTATATTGTAGGTAAAAGACCTTACCTACCTTCCAGGTAGGCAGGCAGGTTAGGTTAAGTTAGGGAGAAGTGGCTGCGTCTGTAATAATAATCTTTATTTCTACAAGAACATATATATGGTATACAGGCCTAGCTGACATACTACTAGATAGATAGCCCCTTGTTATGCAGAGCATTTCGGGCAAATTAGGTCAATTTTGTCTCAGGATGCGACCCACACAAGTCGACTGACACCCAGGTAACCATTTTACTGATGGGTGAACTTTGGACAGCAGGTATCTTAAGGAAACACGTCCTAATGCTTCCAGCCGTACCGAGGATCGACCCCCGGACCACAGTGTGTGAGCTAAATGCTCTAGCGATCGGTTCTTTAAGGCTCTAGAAGGGACCTGTGACGAAAAGCTTTATAAGTATCTCCCTTTTGTTCAAATACTGTAAGTAATAACGAGATTTTCGCATTTTCCCTTATGGTTCCACACATACGGGAAACTGTACATATATAGGAAATCATTCTGAACAAAGCACTTTCTAAAAAAAAAAAATTAGACTTACACTAAGAAAACACTGTACAAAACTTTCACTTTCTACAGAAAAAATCTTGTACAAACTGTGTACATCAAGGAACATGAACCCTCACCGTCGTCCTGCCATGACCGAATCCCTGATCAAAATAAAGAATTTACCTCGGACGTATTCTAAAGATCTGCGCATATGAAACTTTAAATTTCAGGTCTATTAATTTATCTAATTTGAAGAAAGTGGCTCTTATTCGATATAGTAGATTCTTATCTCTTTCAGCTATACTGAACTCAAACCTAGACACTGCACAAGGATCATTAACCATACTTTCACTTGTATACTAATTTCAAGAATAATGTATTAATCACTTAACTATATTTATCTCAATACTTCCCGAGGCCTCGTTTGCTGGACAATGAAAAAGTCACCGACTTTTTTGGGTTATCCCAGGACCTAAATTAAATCTACAATTTACCACTAATATTTTTTTTATTAATATATCTGCTGTTTTCCACTGAGGTAGTGTGACCCGAAAAAAAATACTTTCATCATTCACTCCATCAGTCTTGTCAAAGACATGCTGATGCTACACTTCAAAAACTGCAACATATCTTCACCCCTCCTTCAGAGCGCAGGCACTGTATTCCCACCTCCAGGACTCAAATTTGGCTAACATCATTGGGTACACCTGCACATTTCCATCAAATACAGTTTTCTTACAGGGAATATGACATTCCAAAAGAATTAAAGTTTTCTAACATGCTATGATTCTCTCAACCTTGCTCTTCGTCTATCAGCGGACGTAGTATTAAGCCCCCCACCACTCCATGCACTGAATGGCCATCACGGATTTAGTGCTTCACATGTTATACTCGTATATCATTTTGCCCTGGATGTAACCCATAACTGATACCACACAGGTACCCATTTTTATTATCAACTGGGCAAGGGCAACATGATCAAGGAAACCAACCCACACATTTCTCCGTGCCAGAGAACTGAGCCCAGGACCTTGCGATTTTTGAGTCGATTGTTCTTACCAGAGTTACGCGGCTTATTGTAAGCCAGGAAGACATCCAAGGAAAGTTTGGGGTAGGACTACGGAGTTTTTCTTTCGAGTCAGTGTGATCGTGTATCTTAGTAAAGCTGCAGAGTGTAACAATACAAGCCCACCAAACAGCGACTGTGTAATCACAGGTGATATTTATAGCGTAGGTAGACGGTTGCTTACAGGAGAGGGTGATGAAGAAACAACCATTTCTAACGCCATTTAAAATTAACTATTTATACTGCTCCGCCAGTGATATATTGACGGCCGACCTAATGGATCAGGTCTGGTCGGAGACCTAATGGATCAGGAGGCCTGGTCTGAGACCGGCAGCGGAGGTGACCTCCGGATGCGACTCCATGCAACCTACAGTTGGTTTCTTAGATTTAAAATCTATCGACTGCAAGAATACTTTACTCTCAAATAAATATTAAAGCCCTCAGTGTATACACACAATATACACCCTTACGTATCTCAATATACATCATTTATCAAACTCCACTAGTCCTCTTTCTGGTATTAGACTTCATTTGCATCAGTTAAAATTTAAATCTTATAAAATGTTGGACATTAAGGCAACAAGTCACCTGTGCACTAATACCAAGAATTCCTCAATACCTAAACAGGAATTAAAGTGTATAAACACACACACCACTATGTATATATAGCTTTTTTTTCTTTTTTTTTTTAACGGAGAGGTCATATATTGGATTTAAATTACATATACTAAAAACTAAGCACAAGAGAGGACCTAGTCCGCACAAAGCTGCGAGTAGACCTGACAACTTTCTCCTTAGGTCATAAGCCTAGGCTGCAGCGAGGGAAGGTGATCTAACAGACAACGAATCTGATGAAAGATAGTACTTACCAAGTTGAGGACCCCAATGATAGTTGTGCCGACCTGGAAAAAGAAAAGCGTCATGAAACAAATTATTCCTCGATATTCTGATAAAACTTTTGTGGTTAGGCACACGAAGAGTTAAATATGATAAAAGAAGCATAATACTAAGGAAAAGCAGAGTATTTGGATAGGCGTAAATGGTACTTAAGAGCAACAGATTTTGGTTTCAGGTATACGTATTCAGGGGTGTTTGAAGGGGTAATCTCTGCCTCCGGCCCCAATTCTTAATCTCTAAATAGATTTCTATTGCTGTTTCCTAGCTTTTTTGGATTCTATTATACCTACTTTGAAACGGCCAAAGGGGTTAGATGCTTCAGGGCTTAGTTGGAGTGATGAGCTGAACCCATTTCATCTGATATAGCTCTGAGACTGAAGCAGTATTTCACGAAGTCCCCGTGGTTCGTCTGTTTTAAGCTTCTATTCATGTCCTCGTTCCTGCATCTCGCATTTAAAAAAAATTGTCCCAATCTACTGTCAAATCCAAGTATCTCGCACGTCGTAACTGTCTCCCTTGCTCCCTCTCTTCTAATTCCGGTACGTCATATAATCTTTCATTATGGCTCAAATGAATAAACCGACTACCTGGAGGGTGTTCCGGGCGGCAACGCCCCTCGGCCCATTCCTTGACTAGGCCTCCCGATGGATCAGGGACTGATCAACCAGGCTGCTACTGCTGGCCGCACGTAGTCCTACGTACGAACCACTGCCCGGCTGATCGGGCACTGATTAGGTATCTGTCCAGATCTCTCTTGAAGGCAGCTAGGGGGTCTACTGGTAGGTCCCTTATGCATGGTGAGAGGCTGTTGAACAATCTTGGGCCCAGGACACTTAGTTTTTTTTTTTAAGTGTACTCATGGCGCCCCTACTTTTCACTTGACCTGTACTCATTGGAGCCTGCGCTCCAGCGAGTACAGGTGGAGTGACTCCAAGCGAGTGACTACATGTGCAGTAAAGGTTCTCTGTACATTCTCTAGATCTGCGATTTCACCTTCCTTGAATGGATTATTATAATCAAAACTAAGCACTAAACCCACTAGGGTCATACAACGCTGTTTCTTGAATGGAACTGTTAGTGTACAACAGTATTCCAGCCTAGAGAGAACAGATTTAAAAAGGATCATTGGCATGGCATCTCTTGTTTTGAAAGTTCTCATTATCCATTCTACCATTTTTCCTCGCAGACATGACAGTGACACTGGTGTGATCCTTGAAGGCAAGATCCTGTGACATTAACACTCCCAAGTCTTTCACAATATTGACTTCCATAACTGAGTAATTGAAATTTGCCCTCACTGTTTTCCGTTGCACATTGGAAAACTTTGTTTATATCAGCTTGGAGATTTACCGTGTCCTCATTGCATGACACTCATGAAGATTCTAGTATCGTCTGCAAATGAGTGCTATGGTTTACATCTGTCTATGTCAGATATGAAAGATGAGGAGCAGAATGGATGAGTATTGTTCATTATGGAACAGCTTTTCACTTTGGCAGCCTCCGACTTAACTCTGTTTACTACCAGTCTGTGTTCTATTGGTCAAAAGGTTGAAGATCCATCTGCCCACTTTTCTAGTTATTCCTTTTGTGCGTTATTACATCATAATATCTTTATTTACTACAAGTACAAGGTTGCAGGCCTAGCTGACAATGACATACTACTATATAGAAAGCCACTTGTTATGCAGAACATTTCGGGCAAATTAGGTCAGTTTTGTCCCAGGATGCGACCCAGACCAGTCGACTAACACCCAGGTACTCATTTTACTGAAGGGTGAACATAGACAATCGGGGTAAGGAAACATCCAATGTTTCCACCTCTTCGCCGGGAACCGAACCCGGGCACTCACCGTGTGTAGCGAGAGCTTTTGCCACCAGGCCGCGGGGCACTTGTCGAAGGCTATGTTGTTCTTCAGTGTATCCTACCACCAGAGCTGGACAGATACCTAAAGTCAGTGCCGGATCAGCCGGGCTGTGGCTCGTACGTTGGACTGCGTGCGGCCAGCAGTAACTGCCTGGTTGATCAGGCCCTGATCTACCGGGAGGCCTGGTCATGGGCCAGGCCGCGGGGGTGTTGATCCCCCGAATAACCTCCAGGTAACCAAAATCCTGTATGTATCAAAAACTCAAATTTACTTGTATATCATGCAGAAAGAATCAGTCATTATACAGGTGTAAGTAGGTCGTAGCTCTAAGAATAAGTTAACTGCAATGTTCCTTTATGACAATCATCATTCATTAACCAGTTAATAACATACAGGGCGGGGGCTGACATAGTGGTTGGCAGAATAAGGCCTACATTAAATTCACTCTTATAATGTCGAGCACTGAGGCACAATAGACTGAGGGACTCTCAGTATTCCGTTGTGTAAGGGAAGAGTATGCTTTTAAAATTGTACTACTGTTCGCTTAGCTACCTCTCCTTTTATACATTTAATAACTCCTACTTAATAATCTGCGTCCAGCTCAGTAGTAGTATTTAAGCACTAGGATTAGTTTGCCCGAAATGTATCGCATGCTATTGGTTTTCTTTTGTAGCTTATTAATTAAAGTTCATAAAGAATAGCTAAACCTGTAGGAAGCATGGAACGCCTGGGAAATAAGTATTCAAGTCCAATTTCTAGGACCAAACATCAAGGTATACCCTCCCCCCCTACCATTCCGAAGGAATTTGTAGCCAAGCCAAAGGGCATTGGTACATATATACCAATATTCATGTTTAAACACGTGTTTATCCTCTACACATGGGTCACTACGGCCATATTTCACTCAAACATTATCAGAGATACTGCCATCCTAAAACAGAACGTATATGTTATCTGTACTATATAACCACATGTGTATAACCATACCCTCTCCACACATTAAAGCTATTTTATTATTATTATAAACAAAACTAAGCGAGAATTTAATTAAAAGGTTAGGCTGGTCTAGTTAAAAACCTATATGCACTAGGGTCGTTAAGCCTGCGCGTAATTTCACCACTAAACAAGAATACTTAATCCCTAAAATAGGGATTACCGTAGACGTCCAGCATATATACGTAGAGAGAAATCTCTCTCGATGCGTAAAAATAAGCATTTAATCACTGTCATTTATACTATTATTACATTCCCTCAGGCGCTGTACGACCCCTACGGGTCGTTCAATGCCTAAGGGAACCCCAACAGTATAATTTTTCGTATTTGAAATTATATTTTGAAATTATATTTGAAATTATATTTTCAGTTTTATCGTTGTATATTAATTAGCCATCTCTTGTCAATCTGTTTATTACATTAGGAAGCGCTAAACCCACTGGAGGCAATCATGTTCGAGCCGAGGAAGAGGAAGGTTGATCCAGTTTCTTGAATCAAGAGCAATAGCCTTCACCAGCATCAAGGTATACGCCCTTGATAGATTTCAGTTTCATATCGAATCCCATTTGTTTTATCCTCCTGATTCAGGGTTAAACCCGTAGGAGTCATACAGCGCCTCGGTAAAGGGATGTAATCAGGTTTGATCCAAAAAGTAACTCCAATCTCTTGGATCAAGAAAATATTAAGATTTCCAAGGACTCCCCCCCCCCCGTTACACGCATTGTACACGGGTCATATTATGGGGAGGTAAACCCACAAGGGAACTAAGCCTGTAGGGGTTCCACAGGGGAAATCAAAATCAATGAGATTCCATAATAGGTAGTTCCAATTCCTTAGATCAAGAGCCTTGCACCAGCATCACACACCCCTTGAAGATCATATATTTACAAGTTCATTATGTAAACAAATGAAGCGGTAAATCCGTAAAGTTTACACAGCTCCTAAAGAATCAGAGGCATTTAGGTTCGATTCAAAGAAAGGGAGGACAAGTCCAGTTTCCTGGATCAAGAACCCCTCACTGACATCAACGCACCTTTGAAGGAACATTAAATTCGATCCTACCGTATCCGGAAGCGCTAAACCCGGATGCTTCAAAGAGCTTGGCAAATGAGGCATTGAGGAAAGAGGATAAATCAAGTTCCCTGGATCAAGAGCCTCTCATTGGCATCAAGGCACCTCCCATGAGGGGATAATTTAATGCAAATCACACGGGTAAGCGGCAGTTATAAAGTCAAATCACAGTCGTAGCCTAAGGCCTAACATAACATTTTCCTTCATAACTCATTTTAAAAAATGCTTAAATGACGTAGAATACAGGAAAACAACTTTACCTTGAGGTCGAAACAACAACAGCCACTCAGAACAGGCATAGTTAGGGAATAATGTCCTAAAATTGTGGAAAAAGATGCAACCCTCCTCACTGTGTGACTGCTTCTCTCCAACTGACGTCCCCGGCCCATAGTGGCCTCACCCAGGTGTGGTGGGGGTGTTGGTGTTTGGTGGGATGATGGGGAGGTGGTGGGGTGTTGGTGTGTGGTGGGGTGATGGGGAGATGGTGGGAAGGTGATGGGTGTGTTGGTGTGTGGTGGGAGGTGGTGGGGTGTTGATATAATGGTGGGGGTTGAGTGGTGGGGAGGTGGTAGGGGGTGTTGGTGTGTGGTGGGGAGGTGGTAGTGGTGTTGATGTAATGGTGGGGGTGTTGGTGAGTGGTGGGGGAGGTGATGGGTGTGTTGTGTGTGGTGGGGAGGTGGTGGGGTGTTGATGTAATGGTGGGGGTGTTGGTGAGTGGTGGGGAGGTGATGGGTGTGTTTGTGTGTGGTGGGGAGGTGGTGGGGTATTGATGTAATGGTGGGGGTGTTGGTGAGTGGTGGGGAGGTGATGGGTGTGTTTTGTGTGTGGTGGGGAGTTGATGGGTGTGTTTGTGTGTGGTGGGGAGGTGATGGGTGTGTTTGTGTGTGGTGGGGAGGTGGTGGGGTGTTGATGTAATGGTGGGGGTGTTGGTGAGTGGTTACCTGGAGGTTATTCCGGGGATCAACGCCCCCGCGGCCCGGTCCATGACCAGGCCTCCCGATGGATCAGGGCCTGATCAACTAGGCTGTTACTGCTGGCCGCACGCAGTCCAACGTACGAGCCACAGCCCGGCTGATCCGGCACTGACTTTAGGTATCTGTCCAGCTCTCTCTTGAAGGCAGCCAGGGGTTTATTGGCAATTCCCCTAATGCTTGATGGGAGGCTGTTGAACAGTTTTGGGCCGCGGACACTTATGGTGTTTTCTCTTAGTGTACCAATGGCGCCCCTACTTTTTATTGGCGGCATTTTGCATCGCCTGCCCAGTCTTTTACTTTCGTAGGGAGTGATTTCTGTGTGCAGATTTGGGACCATTCCTTCCAAGATTTTCCAAGTGTAGATTATGATATATCTCTCCTCCTGCGTTTCCAACGAGTACAAGTCAAGTGCTTCCAAGCGTTCCCAGTAGTTAAGGTGCTTGACAGAACTTATACGTGCAGTAAAGGATCTCTGTACACTCTCTAGATCTGCGATTTCACCTGCTTTGAATGGAGATGTTAATGTACAGCAGTATTCCAGCTTAGAGAGAACAAGTGATTTGAAAAGGATCATCATGGGCTTTGCATCTCTCGTTTTGAAAGTTCTCATTATCCATCCTATCATTTTCTTTGCACGTGCGATCGTGGCACTGTTGTGATCCTTGAAAGTGAGATCCTCAGACATTACTACTCCCAGGTCCCTTACATTATTTTTCCGCTCTATTGTATGGCCGGAGTCAGTAGTATACTCTGTTCTAGTTATTATCTCCTCCAGTTTTCCATAACGGAGTAGTTGGAATTTGTCCTCATTGAACATCATATTGTTTACCGTTGCCCACTGGAAAACTTTGTTTATATCTTCTTGGAGGTTAACCGCGTCCTCAGCAGATGACAGCCTCATGCAGATCCTAGTATCATCCGCAAAGGATGATACGGTGCTGTGGTGTATATCTCTGTTTATGTCTGATATGAGGATAAGGAGGTGGGGAGGTGGTAGGGGTGTTGGTGTGTGGTGGTGAGGTGGTGGGGCGTTGATGTGGTGGGATGTTGGTGTATGGTGGGGGTGTTGGTATGTGGAGTGATGGGGAGGTGGTGGGATGTTGGTGTGTGGTGGGGTGTTAATGTAATGGTAAGGGTGCTGGTGCCTAGTAGATTGATGGGTGATGGTGGGGTTGTTGAGATCATGGTTGGAAAGAAAGATGGAAGTTGATTGATGTAAGGACGAAGACAGTGGAGGGAGGAAGGGGTAGTAGAAGCACTTGAGATAAGAGTTCAGAGTGGGGAAGATGTGACTTCGTAGGCAACTCTTTCGCCTCACACATACACATAGTTTCAATCCTTGGCCGGGTGGAAACGTTGTGCATTTTCCTCACACCTGTTGTCCTTGTTCACCTAGCAGTAAGTAGGTAGCTGGGTGCTAGTTGACTGGTGTTCGTAGCATCCTGGGGCACAAGACTGAAGGATCACAATGGAAATAAGACAGTCCTCGAAGACGCACTGACTTTCTTGGGTTATCCTGGATAGCTAACCCTCCGGGTTAAAAGGCCAACAAATCTTATCTTAAGCACTAAGATAAGGGTTTAGAGTGTGGAGGCTGGAGGAGAGGGGTAGCAGAAGCACTGAGATAAAGATCGTTTATGGTGTGGAAGATGGAGGAGGGATATTTTTGTTCCTGGAGATTCTCAGAATCGAAATATGGACTGGACTTTCTTTAATAATGATTCGAAGACAAGACAGAGGGCGTGTTTTCCTGGAGCAGGTGTGGGTGATGTAGTTAACAAATTAGATAACAGCATGTCAGGTAATGAGAACAACCCTGGAGGTTATGATGCTGCGAAACACGAGAGAGAGAGAGAGAGAGAGAGAGAGAGAGAGAGAGAGAGAGAGAGAGAGAGAGAGAGAGAGAGAGAGAGAGAGAGAGAGAGAGAGAGAGAGAGTTGTTGAAGTAAAATGTAGCTATTCATTTAATTAAGTCCAAGGAATTGACCGATCATAATGAACTTTCTGTCTAGAAGGGGAGTGGGCAGTGAGTGAATACTAGGACACTTGAGGTGAACTACTGTCTAGAAGAGTGCTGCAAGGAGATTTCAGTTTCATTTATTGACAACTGAAATACAAGATAGAGGTAAGGGATTAAAGTAAACGCTCAGTAAATATACGCCGAGAAAAATACACCTCCGCCAATTCATCCTGTGTATATTTGTTATATGAATCTGCAAGGCTTCAGCTTAAGCAAATTCATCTAAAAAAATATTCCTGAGTGGATGCTACACGTTTTAATATATAAAAATATTCTTCTTGAATAGTACTACTGCTGCTGCTAATGGAATGGGACTAAAACAGTTTAGTTAATTCAGCTATCATAACTTTGGGGTCCAGTCCCTGGACTCATTATGTACCTCTGTAATCTTTTGACTACCGCCCACAGGATGGGTATGGGGTGCATAATAAATATATTAAACTAAAAAGTTTACCATGCGGGTAAAGATAAAGGACGTATGTATTGGGATCTTATAAACTTAAGGGCAAACTCTAGTAACCGTCGTGCCACTAGTGACTGTCATCAACATTATGTTGGCATTATTAATCCCGGAAGGATTAGTGACATTAGATAACTCAGTAAAATTCGTGTCATCGGGAACTGTGTTTTTTTCCACTGTGCCTAGCCATGCTAGGTGTTCTAGTGGTGGCCTGGTGGCTAAAGCTCCCGCTTCACACACGGAGGGCCCGGGTTCGATTCCCGGCGGGTGGAAACATTTCGACACGTTTCCTTACACCTGTTGTCCTGTTCACCTAGCAGCAAATAGGTACCTGGGTGTTAGTCGACTGGTGTGGGTCGCATCCTGGGGGACAAGATTAAGGACCCCAATGGAAATAAGTTAGACAGTCCTCGATGACGCACTGACTTTCTTGGGTTATCCTGGGTGGCTAATCCTCCGGGGTTAAAAATCCGAACGAAATCTTATCTTATCTTATCTTAACTACATGTAAACCACACAATAACCAAATTCTGTAAACTCAGCATTGTAATCCTTATAGAGAATAAACTTTGAATTTGAATTTGAACAGTCAAATAACACCCAGGTACCTACTTGAAGCTAGGTGAAGTGGAGCAGCAGGTGTATGTAAACATGCTCAACGTTTTACTCCTGCCGGAGTAAATAGCACAACTTGACTCACGAAATCGTAATGACACGATTGCAAACAAACCATACAACGGGCGGGATTTGAACCCGCGGTCAGAGAGTCAAAACTCCAGACCGTCGCGTTAGCCACTGGACCAGCTAGCCACAATAAGATTCGTCCAACTAGGTATATTTCAACGAATCTTATTGTGGCTAGCTGGTCCAGTGGCTAACGCAACGGTCTGGAGTTTTGAGACACTCTGACTGCGGGTTCATTATTATAATAAAAAGAAGCGCTAAGCCACAAGGGCTATACAGCACTGCAGGGTAGGGAAGGAAGCGAGGGTATTGGGTGGCAGAAGGGGGGAGGGATGATCAGTAGGTTACAGAAAACAGCGGGGAAGGGGATAGTATGGGGTAGAGGGTAGCAAGAGATTGAGGTAGAAAGGGCTGAAGGCATCAGAGTTTGTGAAGTAAGTCAGTTGTTGTCAAAAAGTCAATGAGAGAGTCCGGATGAAAGGTGGGTCCATCAGCGAGAAGGGAAGGTAAACAGAGAGCAGCGGAGCGAAGACGACAACAGAGGTAAATTCTGCGTACTCGTTGATAAAGTGGGCAGTCCAACAGAATGTGGCTGATTGATAATGGAGCCTGACAATTCTCACAGAGAGGAGCAGGGCACCTCTCCATGAGATATCCATGAGTAAGACGAGTATGGCCAATGCGAAGACGGGAGAGAGTAGTCTCCCAACCTCGACACTGGTGACAAGAAGACGGCCAGTAACCTATACTCGGTTTAATGGATTAAAGTTTGTTACCGAGCATAGTAGACCAACGTTGTTGCCAACGGGTGTGAAGGTGGGTAGCTATTGCAGCAAAATAGTCTGTAAATGGAATACCTCTATATGAAACTGGTAGGTCATGTACTGCTGACCACGCAGCAGTGTCTGCCTGTTCATTGCCCTGTATACACAGTGTATAGTGTATACTACAGTGGCTCCCTAGTATATAGATGATAAAGGCTAAAGTGTCATTTGAAAACAGGTGAATTTGTAAATGAAGTGATAAGCCTATAGAGGCAGGTGCCAGAAGTCGCCAGAAACTTACCACAGAGGTCAGCTGTTTTAATAATCTTCCTTGCCTGCTAGTGTACACGCATATAATCTAGTGATACCAGTGAATAGCAGAATACAGTGTTGTAGTAGCAACTAACCAGTATTATAATGGTACTTAGTGGAGTGGAGTGACTTTCATTAGTTTCTTTTTTCTTGAAATACCAGACATATACTGTGAATTTCATATAACCTGTAGTTACCAGCAGTCACAATATACACAACGAGAAGCAATTATTACTACAGAAAAAGCGTCCTTCCTCCAAAATTTCCGCCAGTCAACTATAGTGATAAT